AGGGTGTCAGTATCTGAGTTGCTGGTGGGTGTAGGAGGAAGCCTTGCTGATGCATGGTCAAGGAATCTGTAGCTTCTTCTTCAGAGGAGATATATGATGGTGACACCCTCTTGCCTGCTGAGATTGTAGACTTGCTTTTGATATTTACAAGACAAAAAAGATAGAAGGTGTTGCAGTCAAGGATATTAGTTGTAGCAGGTGAAAAATTGACACAGGGGTTAATGTAAGAATTGCACAGCAAGAAATGTGGCTTAATTTTCCTTTCGCAGAACATGGGTGTTTTGGCATCTTCACAGGACTGGTCCCGGTACTCTTTGGCCAGTGTCAGGATCCATTCCTCAGAGATAAGGAAATGGACATCGGCCACCCACCACCTGCTCTGGCACTTTTGGACTGATTGTGGTTTTTTTGTTCCACATAGAACGCGAGAGAGAGAGGGACTGAATGAGATGTACCACATACTTTTATCTGATAGAGCTGGTGCAAGTGGAAGAAAGGTGGTGAGGTGAGTGAATAGGCAGCACATGAGCCTTGGTCAGAGATAGATGTAATAGCAGAGATACAGAGAGTGAGAAGTCGGAGAGGAAAGATGGCAGTACTTACCCTGGGAGGTGTGCAAAAAGTCACTGACTTCCTTCTTGCATTGCTGGTCATTCCACTGGATGGTTGAGACTATACTGATCCAGGTAGCAACCTAGGTCTAGGCTTGCAGGACCTGGTGTTGTAGCCTCTTCTGGCAGTTTTGGTGGAAGATGACAGCTCTCCTATGCAACACCCCAACCACTGAGGCCCCGTCAGCAAAACGAAACAAAAGACAAATAAAATAAAAGCTCCAATTTCCCCTTCCCTCCCAAGCCCTTCAGGAGCGTGTTCAGGGCAGTTTCAGGATGCCAATACTCATCAATGATACAACAGCATTTTAAAGATGATACCAATGCAAGGATGCCTGTCTCTCTTTGGAAATCCAGCCAGAGGCAAGTTCTTTTGACCATGTTGAGTAGGAGAATCCAGATAGCATCAGACAAGAGGGGTGCTTATAGGTATGGCAGGTAGTTAATGCGGTGAGTTTGGGCCAATAGCACGAGAAAATTTGCTTAGCCTTGAGAGAAACCCTCCATGAAACTCAATGAAAATACCTTTACATTGTAAGATTCAGCCCAGTTTCTTTTTAGCAATGATTGACTTTATTTCCTTACGTGTTTATTGCTTGAAACAGCTCCAGAGTTCATACAACAGATGCTGTGAATTGGGCAATTACTGAATTTTCAAGATCTTATCTGCTCATTCACCTCATTCCCATCAGGCAACTTGGGTTAAAAATTAAGCGCCTTGTTTTTAAGTTTGTTTTACTAGGCTGAAATCTCGTGTCAGTTATTAATTTTCACTTAAAATAGTATGAATCCTATGAATGTTTCATGCCAATAAGGAAGTGTTGCTGCCATCTATTAGGGAATTACAGCTTAATGCTGAATGAAATTTGTTCTGAGGAAGGGTCACCAGACCCGAAACATTAACTCTGTTTTTTCCTTCACAGATGCTACCAGGCCTTTTCCAGCAACTTTGTTTTTGTTCCTCATTTACAGCATCCACAGTTCTTCCGATTTTTATTTTGAAATTTGTTAGTAGCAATCTGATTCTACCCTTGATGATATTCTGACACATTATGTTTTCTTAAAACCAAAATTCTTTGTTGAACAGCTGGTATTCTTTTCAAGTGGAACACATCCTTATTTGTCAATGCTTGATCACTGGGTTTGAAAACATTCCCCAATTCCATGTTCTAGCAGTAATAAGGTATTAGCCACCTTGAGTATCAATGAAGGTGATTAAGCAACTAAAAGCTGAACTAAAAGAATAAGTGGGACAGAAACTCCGGTTGCTTTTTGGCTCATGTACCTCTTGTCAAAAATAGATACACACTGATTATGGAATATATAAAGCAAGATTTTGTCTTCTAATTGGATTAAAGCACCATGTTACAATGTAAAAATCATTGTCATTACTTAACATTTTTAACAATATGTTTAAGATTTAGCTCAAACTGAATGTATTATCATACCTCTATACCTCAATATTCTTTTTGGATTTCTTATTTAAAGCAGCTATTAAGGCAGAGTTCTTCTTCTCTAACCTTGGAATTAAAATAAATAGGCTTACTGCATGTGATTTGTTACAACTTGAATTCGATTGAATTAATCTACAGTCCCCTTCCCAACAATAATTCACTATACTGTTCAGCTTTAGTTACCATTTAAAATTTGTATACAATCAGAGTGTTGTTTCATATATAATTTTCACTAATCTAATTTACACTTCAGAGATCAAAAGCAATGATATTTTTCTTAAAGAAGTGGATTAAGCAGTAAGAGATTAATATTTAATTTAGTGTGGAGCTGGAGGAACACAGCAGGCCAGGCAGCGTCAGAGGAACAGGAAAGCTGACGTTTTGGGTTGGAACCCTTCTTCAGAAATGGGGAGGGGGAAGGGAGCTGGGAAATAGATGGAGAGAGGGTTTGGGCTGGGGAAGGTAGGTGGGACGGTGATAGGTGAGTGCAGATAGGGAGCGGTTGAGATTGGTCAGTGAGGTGGGGGAGTGGATAGGTGGGAGAAAAGACGGACAGGTTGTGTCAGGTCAAGGAGGCAGGGATGAGAGGGAGGCTTGGACATAGAATGAGGCCGGGGGTGGGAGATTTTAAAACTGGTGAAATCTGTGTTTAGGCCATTGGACTGTAGGCTCCCGAGGCAAAATATGAGGTGTTGCTGCTTCAGTTTGCAAGTGGTGTTCATTGTTACACTGGACGAAGCCCAGGATGGACATGTCACCCATGGAGTGGGAGGGGGAGTTAAAATAGTTGGCGGTGGGAAGGTGTTGTTGTTGTCGCGTACAGACAGCAGATGCTCTACAAAACGGTCTCCGAATCTACGCTTGGTCTCACCAATGTAGAGGAGGCCACATTGGGAGCAGTGGATACAGTAGACCAAGTTGACGGATGTGCAGGTGAACCCCTGTCTGATATGGAAGGTTTGTTTTGGGCCTTAAATGTAGGTGAGGGGGGAGGTGTAGGGGCAGATGTCGCATTTCCTGTGGTTGCAGGGAAAGGTGCTGGGGGTGGTGGGATTAGTAGGGAGTATGGAGCGGACGAAAGAGTCGTGGAGTGAGTGGACCCTACAAAAGGCAGATAGGGGTGGGGAGGGAAATATCTCTTTGGTTGTGGGGTCGGATTGTAGGTGGCAGAAGTGGCGAAGAATTATACATTGAATGCAGAGGTTGGCAGGGTGATATGTGAGGACAAGGGGTATTCTGTCTTTATTTTTGTTGGGAGGAGGGGATGTGAGGGCAGAAGTGCGGGAAATGCAAGAGATATGGTTGAGGACATTTCTGATCCCCGAAGGGGGGCAAGTTACAGTCCCTGAAATAGGAGGACATCTGGGATATGCGGGAGTGGAATGTCCCATGTTGGAACCAGACGCGGCGGAGGCGGAGGAAATGGGAGTACAGGATCGCATTCTTACAGGAGGGTGGGTGAGAGGAGGTATAGTCTAGGTGGCTGTGGGAGTCAGTGGGCTTGAAATAGATGTTAGTTTCGAGGCGGTCACCAGAGATGGAGAGGTCCAGGAAGGAGAGGGAGGTATTGGAGATGGTCCAGATGAACTTGAGGTTGCAGTGAAAGTTGTTAGTAAAGTTGATGAACTGTTCAAGCTCCTCGTGAGAGCATGAGGCAGTGCCAATACAGTCATCGATGTAGTAGAGGAAGAGGTGGGGGATAGTGCCAGTGTAACAGCGGAAAAGAGACTGTTCCACATATTCTATGACGAGGCAGGCATAGCTTGGGTCCATGTGGTTGCCTATGGCCACCCCCTTAGTCTGTAGGAAATGGAAGGAGTTGAAGGAGAAGTTGTTCAGGTTAAGTGGATGAGGACGTCAGTGGAGGGGGACTGATTGGGCCTGTGGAAGAGGAAGAAACGAAGGGCTTTTAGGCCATCCGCGTGGGGAATGCAAGTAGATAGGGATTGGATGTCCACAGTGAAGATGAGGTGTTGGGTACCAGGAAATTGGAAGTCTTGGAGGAGGTGGAGGCCGTGGGTAGTGTCCCAAGCGTAGGTAGGGAGTTTCTGGATCGGAGGGAGAAAAGCAGAGAGGAGTTCAGTATGGCAGGAGCAGGCAGAGACATTGGGTCAGCCGGGACAGTCAGGTTTGTGGATTTTGGGAAGGAGATAGAACCAGGCAGTGCGGGTTTGGAGAATGATGAGGTTGGAGGCTGTGGGTGGGATGTCACCTGAGGTGATGGTTTGAGAGATGAGGGTTTGGTGCTCAGGGGTGGGGTCATGACTGAGGGGGCGGCAGGAGGAGGTCTCAGAGAGTTGGTGCTGGACCTCGCCGATGTAAAGTTCAGTGCGCTGGACCACCACCACCACATGTCTGAAGAAGCGTCTCGACCTGAAACTTCAGCTTTCCTGCTACTCTGATGCAGCCTGGCCTGCTGTGTTCCTCCATCTCCATACTGTGTTGTCTCTGACTCCAGCGTCTGCAGTTCTTGTTATCTCTAGCAACCAGCAAAGCTAGTTTAATGTTAACAAGTAGAATGCAACTCAGAAGAAACCATGATCAACCCATACAGTGTTCTAGTGAGACCACATTTTGTGTATTGTGCCAGTTCTCCTTGCTGCAAAAGAGAGAGACACTTATGTATTGGAGGCTTTAAGTACCAGGAGACTGGTCCTGTAGTATAAAACCCTAACCCTAATTTGAAGACAGGAAGATGTGGCCCCAAATTCTAATCAAACAGATTAAAAATTATGATTTGCTGATTTGAGAGAAGGAAGGGATAATAATTTTGATTTACTTAAAATCACAATTTTGTCCTGTAACTATCAATTTATTTTTACAGCAAATTTGGAAATTTGGAAAACATGAATAGCTAAAATCTAAAGACTTAGAAGTTTAAGTTTTATTTTACTTTAATGCTGCTTTGGGCTCAGTTATACATAACATTTGTTACCTCAGAATCTGCAAATTAAACATTCGGAGTCTCTGGTCGGCAAACTGGACAATTTTGTTCAATCCATCAACCTAGGAAAAATGAAAATTCACCAAGGAGGAGATGTTTGTAAACAATGAAACTCAAGACTAATCAATGCAAAATTAAAGTTACAGTTGAAAAATGTAGATGATCAATTTTGCATCTAAACTGACGAAATAATGCTTCCTTCCTAGTGCAATGGAATTATTTTGAGTCAAACTTAAAGAAAGGGAGGAATCAAAGGCACACATTTAAAATGTTATACACCTGATGAGATTTTTCTGGCAGGTACAAGCATAGCAACAATGCAAAACTAAGAAATTTCCTTGGAGAAATCATGAGGGTAGGAGTGTGTTGGACAGTGGCTGAAAATAACTGAAACATGTCAGAAGTGGGAAGAAGAGGACCTTCACCAGGTCCTGACCCAATATGGTGATTTTCTTGCTCCTCTGATGCTGTCTGACCTACTGTGCCCCTCCAGCTCCAAATTTTATCAATTCTGACTTCCAGCACTTGCAGTCCTTGCTATTTCCTAGGCATGGGAAGCAAATTGAATGAGGTCTGAAAGTGGCTGTACCCCCAAAATGCTGAGTGACATATCCCCACACCCCAGAGTTTTCTTTCACTAACAAACTTTCTTTGGCAATGATCTGGATGTCTGGAAGAAACTTATATCGGACCTTTGCAGAGGTGAAATTGCTGCCTGCCGTGAAGAGAAACTAGAAAATATCAAAACTGAGACTTTAAAATATTTGCCATCAGCTTTCCAACAAAAGAGTTTTGAGGAGATCTTGGGGGCAAAAGAGGCCTAGAAGCGGTATTCTTAAACTGTCATCTTGCACTGTATCTCCCACCCCACATTGGCTACGTGTCTAAACAGGGATGATATTGATAAGGCCTCCTTGCTGTGATTCTAGATACTCCAATGAGTCAGAACCAGAGGCCACCGACTCAGTGGACAAGATTTTAGCTCATTCAAAATCTATGTAACACAGTTAAAATCAGGCTCACAATGAGTCTAAACTTTTAAAGGTCACATCCTTTTACTTAACAGTGGAAACTTGCCCACTCCCTAAATGAGAACAGAATAAAGCAATACCAGCCCTCTTGATTTTAATACATTAAACTTGTGACCTACATTTCTCTAGAATAAATGTGAAACGTGGGTGAATTCCCTTGAGCCTTTTCAATCAAAACAATGTTTCTTTTCAACTTCTGCTACATGGCTTTAAATTCGGGAGCAGTCCTAACGAACTTCGGGGAAGGCAATGGTCTAATGATATTATTGCTGGAGAGCCAAGTAATGTTCTGGGAACCCAGGTTCAAATCCCGCCATGACAGATGGTGGAATTTGAATTCAATAAAAATCTGGAATTAAGAATCTAATGATGACTGTGAATTCATTGCTGATTGTCAGAATAACCTGTCTGGTTCACTGATGTCCTTTAGGGAAGGAAATAGTCATCTTTACCTGATGTGGCCTCCATGTGACTCCAAACCCACAGCAGTGGGTTGACTCTTAACTGCCTTCTGGACAATTAGGGATGAGCAATAAATGCTGACATTGCTGGCAATGCCCTCATCCCGTGGATGAAACAAAAATTCACCATATTGTTAATCTACTGAAAGGTCGATCAATGGTTGAGGTATTGTGTAGTGTATACTGTGACTGTTGTACTTTCAAACTGTTGCAAGAAAATTGCGGCTTCACCAGTATTTCCAAAGTGTCACACGTCCACACAGCAAAAATGCTTGTCTCAAATATGTTCATTATCAATTCGATACATTATTTAAAAGTGGATACAGCAAAGTTAGAGTCAAGTCTCTTAGTTTTCCAAAGGTACCATTTACTACCCTAGCATATACTGCCAGAGAGATTAATCAAATAGCTCATCTATTTTATTTTCTTGCTCAAATATGAATAAACAAATAAAATGTACCAAGAAGATTTACGCAATTTGAACAAGCTCACTAAACTTACCAACTAAATTGTTTAAATGATTTTTGAACTGCTTTGATATAGTCTTCTTTTTGTCCAGGTCCTGGCACCTGAATTGGAATTTCACTTGTAGGAAAAATGGTCCTGCTAAACAACTACTCAATTCTTGGTTGATCTAATAGTTGAATTCCAGGAGAGCTGACAAAAGGAGTTGGAGGCAATACTGACAAATGTTTTAGGCATTTTCTAGATCAACCTCTTCAGAGGTGTTATTACATATCTCTGAAACAGGTGAGATTTGAACGTGATGAAGATTTTATAGATTTGAAACATCACATGTTTTTAATTAAGGAACTGTGCTAGTAATCTAAAAAGGTGTGGGTTAATGACCTGGAGACAGCAGCAAAATTCCACGAAGGCAGTTGAGGATCTCTGAACTGAATTAATCTAGATAAAAAGTTAGCATCAAAAATGGTGACTATGAAAAGCCACCTTTAGGGAAGGAAATTGGCTATCCATATGCAATCTGATCTGTTGTCATTCCAGATCTATACAGTGTGGTTGGTTCTTACCTGTTCTCTGAAATGTCATTGCAAGATGTAGTGGTATCAAATTACTCCAAAAAAAAATTTGAAGTGAGCAGACCATCCAGTACTCATCAATGAGCCCCACATGGCAAGGTGCCATCAGCCCAGTAGACAATGCAAATTCTCTTCCCTTCCTAATTGCATTATGGCATGTGCCTGTTCTACTTGGACCCCAGTTCAAGAAGGTGGCTCACCATCACCTTCTCAATGGGCAATAAATGCTGTTCCAGCCAGCAATGCCACATCCCACAATAATACACTTATGTACATTTTGAAATCTGGAAACTTGCCAAAATTTCAAGAGCTGTCTCACAGACCAGTCAAGTGACATATTCTGTGAATGTGACCATCTTTCAAACAACGTCCAAAACACTTTCATATCCCTTGGATATGTCCTATCCAGACAGCAGGATAAATCCACTAAGAGTTAGCAACACAATTAGAAAAGAGCAGCCCTGCAAATGCTCTTCAAAACTTCATAAAGGCTCATGATAACAAGTCAACTGCAGAGAAGGAAACATCATTGATTACAACCTAACACCTTCCCTTAACTGAAACAGACTTAAGTTAATTCAATTCACTCCATGTGTTCTCAAAAAGTGGTTCAGTACATCAGAATGCAGAAAAGTCACAACCCAGACAATATCCAGCAATGTTGCTGAAGGCTTGTGCTGCAGAACCAGCCCCACATCAAGCCATACTGTTCCAGTACAACAATGGCAGATATTCGGCATTGAGGACAATTGTTCAGGTGCACTCTGTTCATAAGAACAGGACATATTTGATCTGGCCAATTATCACTCTCAGTGTACTCCCAGTCACTAGTAAAGTGATGGAAGTTGTCACCAACACTGCTAATCAAGCAGCACTTACTTAAAATAACCTGCTTACTGATGTTCAGCTTGGGTTCTACCAGGACCACTCAGCTCCTGGCCCCATTACAACCATAGCCTAAAAATGGACAAAAATAGTGCTGGAATCAAGAGGTGAAGTGATACCAATCAAGGCAGCAATGACTATTAAGCCAAGTAAAACTGAAGTTGTATCTAAGCCACAGCAAGATGACTGTAGTTATTGAAGGCCTATCATTCAGGATATCCTTCGCTTTCAAAAACAGTCCTTGCCTCATTTCAAAAATACAGAATAAAAAGATACACCCTTTTCAATCACACAATCATAAAGGGTGACATGGTGGCTCGGTGTTTCGCACTACTGCCTCACAGCGCCAAGGACTCGAGTTCGATTCGAACCATGGGCAGCTGTCTGTGTGGAGTCTGCACATTCTCCCCGTGTCTGCATGGGTCCCCTCTGGGTGCTCTGGTTTCCTCCCACAGTTCAAAGATGTGAAAATTAGGTGGGCTGGCATGCTAAATTGCCACTGGAGATCAGCACCTAATCTGAAGTTTTGATCTTCTTGAACTAATGAGAATCTGACCATTTTTCTTCTGATCTGTCTAGTAATCTGAGCAAACCTTGGGTGGGCTCCATTTTAACAAAACTAATTACTTCAGAAGAGTGTAATAAACTTTATTTTGATTACCTAAAACAATGTTTTGGGAAGTTAGGAGACTGTAAGTTATAACAAGCTTTCAAAGTAAAAGGACAATTTTTCTGGTTTCTCTTTTATGGTCGATTTTCCTCGGTAATGAAGTATTATCGGCAGAGTTGTCAGGTGTTTACTGCAGGGAGTTGGTACTTTGGATAGGACATTAATATCAAACATCACCTGCTTCCAAAATATATCAGATTCCATTGAAAATGGATCAGGTAGCAGAAACACCATCCCAAAGAAACATACTTCCACAAATGACAGCAAAACCCAAGTGGTCAGAAATTTCATTTTCATCAGTATTGCTGAACAAAAGACAATTCTCTTTTAAAGTTTTTTTGTCTTGCACTCATGAGATAATTTGCAAAAATACAAATTTAAGGGGATATGCAACATTTATACTGCATGATCAATTTAAAGTCCATTTGCCAACGATACAGGCATTCAATGGTGAATGCACACATTAATGCTGATTGACTGTTAACAGCCAGGCTCATTTAAATTGGAAATTAGACAGGTTGGCCAATTTTGAAACAGCGAATGACTGTCGACCTATTTTATAAAGTTGAAACATGTGCAGTTTATTCAACATTTTCTATCCGTCTGCAAAGTCACGGCCCTATGTGCGCAGATTCTTGTACAAGGAAGTGTGTCACGTTACAAGCCCAGTCGACAATTCTAAATTGGTTCTCATGGTATTTCCTTGCACATTAGACTATCCAGAAAACATCTCAATCTCAATTGTTAGACACTGTTGTGAGTTTTGCAAATATGGACTGGTTTGGGACGGTTAGTACTTGTTGCAAACTGCCAAAAGGATATGCTGTATGATTCAATTTGCCAGTTTTTGGAAATATGACCCACATACATATTCTTTGCAAGATAAGGCTGATGCACTTCCATCCATCTTTAGTTACACGTTCCAAGTGGACAATCCATCTCAAATTCCTCCAAACGGCCTCAGCATCACAGTAGCTAGTTTTCAACCAATTCAGTTCATTCTGTGATATCAAGTAATGGCCGAAGGTACTGATACTGAAAAGTATGAGCCCAGACAATATTCCAGCATTAGTCCTGAAGATTTGTGCTCTGGGGGCTACACCCCTAGCTAATCTATCCAATATAGTTACAAGACACTGGCCTAGCCAATGACACCCTCATCCCATGAATGAATAAAAAAAACTAGCATCTACCAGACAATGTGGAAAACTACCAGATATGCCCTGTCCATGAAATGTAGGAAAATTTCAACTTGGCCAATTACCACCTACTCAGTCTACTCTCAAACAGCAAAGTGATGGAAGGGACAGTGTTAGCAAGTAGCACTTGCTCAGCAAACCTGCTCACTGATGCACAGTGAGTTCCATTGTGCATTGGTACAATGAAGAGGTACAATGGGCTGCAGCTCCTGTTTCTCCATAAATGAATTTCAGTTGCAACTGTGTAGAATGCGCCAGGTGCTTCCACTAGCTGGAGAGAAAACCACACAAAATATCATTAAAGTCCCTTCTCATGTACTCTCACATACAATTTTGGAATAACATTGGAAGAATCCTCATCCATAGCTCTCTTCAAATCTCATTCTATTTTTGAGTGTTTACAAGAAATTTTTGAGTCACACCCTTAATAGGTAGAATGCTGCAAATCAAACCCCGCTAGGCTCAGAGTTGTCAAAAAAGTTATATATGCAAAAAATATATGCAAAAATTCCTCCATTTACCTGATTTTCATAGCCAGGTTTCTGTACTTAACAAATAATTACTATTTGTTAGAAGTAATTAGACTGTAACTACAGATAAAGAATTACAACCCATCAGCATATAACTCTACTCATTAAAACTAATTCATTCATAAAATTCCTTTACACACACACAAAATGGATTATGGACTGGGGGAAGAACTGGACACAGCAGTCCTGTGGTTCCTATTCAAAGCTTGCTAAGATGATTCTTATGATTCTTGTGCTGGTCAGAATGTTACTTCTTAGCTATCCTTCTTTGGATGCTTTCACTGGTTTGCAAGAGGATGGCTGGTTCAGTTAGACAATTATATATTTCTCAATTAGAAGTTGGAGTTTAAGCAGCTGCTGAAAGAAAGATAAGCTCTTTTTTTTTCAGTTTTAAAAGTGGCTTACTGCAGAGAATGGAGAGAGTTCCTCATTGATAAAGACCTGATGGCTTCTCAGCATCTTGTTCCCACTCCTCAAGCAGTTCAATTACCTGAGAACCAATCACAGGTTGTTGGAAGGCAAAGGCCTTCCATCTGTGGACTAGTGAACAGTTATCAATGATAATCAGCTTCTTGTTCCCAACCAAACCTCCATCTGTACATAACCTCCTGCCTCCAGTTCATCTGCAAAAACTGTAATAAACCACAGCTGTACAAAGTGTTCGTAATAAATATCAGATAACTTCCTTTCAAACCACACTGCTATCCTCAGTTTTTAAAACAATTCTTTCATTTTGATCTGCAGTGCAAATCCCAGGGTATTAACAGAACAAACCAGGAGTTCAAATGTTCCTCCAAATTTCTAACATGCTTTTAATATGTGAAGTTTCATCAGAATGCTAAAAAGCAATTTTGTTCTCAGAGAGAAAAAAAAACTAAAAAAAAAATTATATTTCAGCACTGTTGTTATCTCGGAGGTGTATCTTCACACAAGATGAAGTAAGCCTAACACTGTTCTACTGCTGAAAGAAAAAGCAATTAGGAGCACAGAATTAAATACTTATGTAACTTTCACAATACAGAGTACCTTGTATTGGAGCTCATTCACACAACTCTGGAGTCTTATATTTTCAGTTGCAAGCAATTTGAACTCAGACGATTTCCCTTGATTATATTTCAACTTTGCTGCCTGAAAATGAGTTCCATTATTAAATTTACTCAATATTGACAGTAAGTGAAGATGCATTATGATCATTTATTATTATGGGTAATAATGCATGCAGATAATATTCTAGGAACTGTGAAAACTCAATAATCCATAAAATCTGTTGCAGAAGTAAACTCTAAAATTTTCAACTTTATAGGGAAGATGAAAAACTTTGAGATGCATTTTCCTCCACTATTCTTAACAAGACAGAAGTAGAAATGAGTATGAAACTCTTCACTTTATCCCTTTGTGCTAACAGGAATAAAGACAAAATATTACTTTATTTCTTCTGTGTTTTATGAACTACATGAGGTTGTATTACAACTCTGTACTATTTTTAAGTTGAATTTAAGGAACACCTGCATGCTGGATTTTTAAAAATATTTTGTACAACAATATACCTCATAGATATTTGCTCTACTGTTGGGTAAATTTGTCCGTGTGGACACTCCACTGCACTATTCACAGACATTTGTCTTGGGAGTAAAAGAAAAGTAAGTTGCAACCATAAGGAAATAAATTTCAGCACAGAAATGAGGACAGAACTGTACCATCTGATAGGACTGGAAATCAAGTATGATAAATGGCCTACTATAGCCTCTCTGCTCCTATGATGCTGCTTGGCCTGCTGTGTTCATCCAGCCCTGCACCTTGTTGTCTCGGATTCTCCAGCATCTGCAGTTCCTACTATCACTGATAAATGGAACATTTTAGCAGGCTGATTTGTGCACAGAATTATTTTATCTAAATTCTCAAAACAGGTTTACACAATAGGGTGATTTATATACTAGAAATTACATAAGGTGCTGCGTTATGTTAAATTTGTAGTTAAGAAAGGGAAAGAGCACTGTTAACATATTACAACCATACATTCAAAATTGTGTCAAATTTTCTGTTTAGCATAAATTACTTTGCGTAAAGTATTTTCTTTAGCAAGAAAGTAGGGAGGTGTCGAAAGCCAATATTAATCTGTTTATCACCTTGTCCTGCTTTTGTTTACATGATGTAGCAGCTTTTGTCTGGTGGTAATCTTCAGTACATTTATTGCTCTGTCCTGAGTTAGGTTTGTGTGCATTCACATCCTGTAAAATATCAATTATGCACCCAAGTTAATTCAGGAAATAAACCGTGACCAATAATGATTGTTTGGAAGCAGATATAACAGATACTGGAAAAATGAGAGGTAGGCTCATTCAGTACACCTTTTTGAACTCTTGGCTCAAATATCCATTTTCTCTCACTATACTTTGTATAGCCATAGGTTTCTTGTTTCCTGCAGCCGGCCGCCACTTCCTAATCCGAAATCTTAGGTTAGCACATTGTCCTTTCCATATAATCAAGGCAAACACTAATCAATCCTTCCTAATGGCACTGTGGGTCCACCTACACCAAATGGATTGCAGCGATTCAAGGTGGTAACTCTTCCCTACCTTCTCACTGGCAACAAGGGATAGGTAACAAATGCTGGCCCAGACAACAATATCCACATCCCATGAGAGAATCGAAAATAAATCTTGTATCAAATAATCCAGGGCTGTATTGCAACTCTTTGCAAAGAAAGAGATAACACAGTGTGGAGCTGGAGGAACATAGCAGGCCAGGCAGTATCAGAGGAGCAGGAAAGTTGATGTGTCAGGTGGGGACCCTTCTTCAGAAATGGCTGAAATGGCCCATTTCTGAAGAAGGGTCCTGACCCAAAACGTCCACTTTCCTGCTCCTCTGATACTGCCTGGCCTGCTGTGTTCCTCCAGCTCCACACTGTGTTATCTCTGACTCCAACATCTGCAGTCCTTGCTATCTCTTCGCAAAGAAAAATGTTTTTTCCCCATTAAGCACAACCCATAGGCTACACCAGCTTTACATCACTTGATTCTAACATTTTGTCTTGTCAATTAAAGGCCTGCATGGGCTATGAGATATAGACAGTCACTGTAAAATGTTACTAGCTTTCTAGGATAAAAGGTGCCCTTCACGGAAGAGTTATAGGAATGAAGGGAAAGTGAAATGTGATCTGGAGGAATATGTTTGGAGATACCATCATCCTCAGTGATGTCAGACCAGCCCCTAGCTAGGACTTCATGGCTGTTTAATAACAGCCACAGGTTCCTCTCTGACTGTGCTTGTTACCTACTTGTGCTGCAAGTGAAACAGAAGTGTGTCAATGAATGAGGGGTTCCATCTATGGCTTTGATGGTTGAGTAGCTGACATTTTCTGTATCCTGAGAGAAGTGGTGTCAGATTTGCACCACTGCTATAAACAACAGGATGATGTGAATGATTAATATGACATATAATTCACAATTCATAAAGATTGTTAGTAATGGGCGTTCAGCAGCAACTGAGGCTGGTGGTTCAGCTCTTTTTAAGCTCATGCCCTGGGTGCCACAGTGGCTCAGTGTTCAGCACTGCTGCCTCACAGCACTAACAACCCAAATTTGATTCCAGCCTTGGGTGACTGTCTGTGTTGAATGTGCACATTCTGTCCCTGTCTGCATGTTTTCCGTCTGGTGCTCCAGTTTTCTCCCACAGTTCAAAGATGTGCAGATTAGGTAGATTGGCCACGCTAAACTGTCCTGTGGTGCCCAGGGATGTGCAGGTTAAATGAATTAGCCGTGGTGAATATGGGGTTGCAGGGAAATGGTGGGGAGGACTGCGTCTGAGTGGGATGCTCTTTGGAGGGTTGGTGCAGACTTGATGGGCCAAATGTCCTCTTTCTGCACTGTAGGAATTCTATAATGTGGGTGTCATTGGCTGGGTTAGCATTTATTGTCCATTTAATTGGTAGTATCTTGTCTTTTAAGACAAATTTATTAATCTTGACCAGCCATAAGGTCACTAAACTTGTGAAACTGCAGCATAATCCTTAGGCTGGAGATCTGACATTGATCACCATAACTATCTGGTCTCACTGCTTCTGTGCAGTTTGGCTGGAGGCTATCCTCTAGTCCTCTGTGCACAGATCACATCTCTCCTCCTCTCCACCAACATACCCAGTGTGGTACAGGAATAGCTTCAGGAGCACACACTAACCTGTCGCACAGTAACTCATTCTTCATTCTGTACAGCACAGCCTTTCCACAAATGGCTGTAGAACCTGAATTACCCAAAAGGTGTCTCCCCTCAGAGATGCAAGGCTAGATTTAAGTAGTACAGAGTAACTGAATTATGCAGCCACCCAAAAGCACATTTAGCACTGGCTACATGCAGAAATCATGCAAATTAGCAGGGAGCCCAGAATTGGCTTGTATTGGAAGCAACAGGCAATCATGCATCACAATTCCCACACCCCCATACAATTCCCACACCCCTTTCATGGTGTTATCAACTTTTAGCCCAGCGTTTCTTTAGTAGACAGCTTAAAGTAAGAAGGGAAATTAACTTTATGATATGGCTTAGTCATAAGTGGGATGGTGGAGCCTGATGAATTTTGTGACAAAGGAGCAGCTGACAAAGAAGCAGCGCTCCAAAAGTTTGTGGTTTCAAATAAACTTGGACTATATCCTGGTGTCATGTGACTTCTGACCCAGACGAGGGACCGGATCAATATGTACCAATTCTGAAACTCGTTGGTACAACAATTTAGTCTTTGTAAGCAGAAAGGAACAAATGAATTTGTTATAAACACTGAACAGGATCATTACTTCTGTGCTTTCCAATATGTTGTAGGGCATCCAGAATTGAATATTTTAATTGTAAGAGTGGTGTGGTGCAGCCATGTTTTCATTTTGAAAGAACTGATAGGAAATCCCTTAACTCCATCGATCGGGAGGCACGTATCGAGTCTGATGTCCCATTGCCAAGAAGGGAAAAGTGAAGCACCTGGATGATCACATATATAAAGTATTTCCCGCTGAGAAACAATCTGCCCAAAAGCTCCATACTAGTGTTAATATGCCATTCAAGCATCTTCCCACCCTTTTCATCATTCCCATAACAGATGCATAGATTCCCTTCTCCCTAACATTCTTATCTGAGTTCCCCTTAAATGCATCGATGCTATTCATCTAAACCAGCAACAAATATTACATTCTAACACTCTCTCGGTTTTGATGTTTCTTCTTAATTCCCATTGGATTTATTAATTAGTGATTATCGTATATTTATGGGCTTTACTTCTGCTGCTCTTACCTGCAAGTTGAGACAGCATCACCATTATCTATTCCTTTTGTAATTTTAAAGGCCAAAAGGTCATAGAATCATAGAGCTGTACAGCATGGAAACACATCCTTCAGTCCAACTCATCCATGCTGACCAGATATCCAGGATAAATCAAGTCCCATTTGCCAGCATTTGGCCCATATCCCACTAAACTCTTCCTATTCATATGCCTATCCAGGTGTCTTTTAAATGTTGTAATTGTACCAGCCTCCACCATTTCTTTTGGCAGCTCATTCCATACATGCACCACCCTCTGCATGAAAATGATGCCCCTTGCATCTCTTTTAAATCCTTCCCCTCTCACCTTAAACCTATACCTTCCAGTTTTGGACTCGCCCACCCCAGGGAAAAGACCTTGTGATGTCTCGTGATAACCCTCATGATTTTATACAAGTCTATAAGGTCACCCCTCAGCACCAGGAAAAATAGCCCCAACCTATTCAGCCTCTCCCTATAGCTCAAACCCTCCAACCCTGGCAACATCCTTGTAAATCTTTTCCGATCCCTTTCAAGTTTCACAACATCCTTCCTATAGCAGGTAGACCAGAACTGCACACAGAACTCTGGACAGCGCCAATATGACCTCCCAACTCCTATACTCAAAGCACTGATCAATAAACGGGCTATTTTCCCTGGAGCGTCGGAGACCAAGGGGTGACCTTATAGAAGTTTATAAAATCATGAGGGGCATGGATAAGATGAATAGGCAAGGTAGTTTCCCCAGGGTGGGGAGTCCAAAACTAGGGAGCACAGATTTAAGGCAAGAGGGGAAGATACAAAAGAGTCCTAAAGGGCAACTTTTTCAGAGGGCGGTGCGTGTATGGAATGAGCTGCCAGAGGAAATGGTGGAAGCTGATCCAATTACAACATGTAAAAGGCATCTGGATGGGTATATGAATAGGAAGGGTTTAGAGGGATTTAGGCTAAATGCTGGCAAATGGGACTAGATTTATATAGGATATCTGGTCAGCATGGATGAGTTGGACTGAAGGGTCTGTTTCTCTCTTGTATATCTCTATGACTATATACTAAACACCTTCTTCACTATCCTATCTATCTGCAACTCCACTTTGAAGGAACTACGAACCTACACTCCAAGGTCTCTTTGTTCAGCAACCCACTCTCCAGGACCTTACCATTAAGTGTAAAGTCCTGCCTTGATTTGCCTTTCTAAAATGCAGCAGCTCATATTTATCTAAATTTAGGTCCATCTGCCACTCCTTGGCCCATTGGCCCATCTGATCAAGATCCTGGTGTACTCTGAGGTAACCTTCTTGGCTGTCCACTACACGTCCAATTTTAGTGTCATCTGCAAACTTACTAACCATACCTCCTATGTTCACATTCAAATCATTTATATAAATGGCGAAAAGCAGTGGACCCAGCACCGATCCTTGTGGTGCACCATTGGTCATAGGCCTCCAGTCTGAAAAGCAACTCTCCACAACCGCCCTCTGTCTTCTACCTTCGAGCCAGTTTTGTACCCAAATGGCTAGTTCTCCCTGTATTCCAATGTGATCTAACCTTGCTAACCAGTCTACCATAAGGTACCTTGTTGAACGCCCTACTGAACTCCATACAGATCATGTCCACTGCTCTGCCCTCATCAATCCTCTTCATTGCTTCTTCAAAAAACTCAATCAATTTCGTTCAACATGATTTCTCGCACACAAAGCCATGTTGACTGTCCCTAATCAGTCCTTGCTTTTCCAAATACATGGAAATCCTGTCCCTCAGGATTCCCTCCAACAACTCACCCACCACTGATGTCAGGCTCACCGGTCTATAGTTCCCTGGCTTTTCCTTACCACCTTTCTTAAATAGTGGCACCACGTTAGCCAACCTCACCTGTGGCTATCAGTGATATTTTGTAAAGTTGCAATAGGGAGTAGAGTGGAATCTTTTTTGATTACGTTTTATTCAG